CAGCCCCAGCAGGTCCAGGGGTCCCCAAAGGTGTGGACGGAGTCGGCGAAGAAGGAATGACACGGGCTCAGCGTTCAGTTGATCAGCATAGCGAGGTTCTCCCTCCAGGATCTCCAGCCAAGTTCTGTGTACAGGTTCTCTTGCTAGGTTCTCTCGCTAGGTTCTGTCTCTAGGTTCTCCAGCCAAGTTCTGTAGCCATGTTCTCTCCAGGATCTTTTGCCATGTTCTCTCCCTAGGTTCTCTCTCTAGGTTCTGTGTCCAGGTTCTGTCCCTAGGTTCTGTCTCTAGGTTCTGTCTCTAGGTTCTGTCTCTAGGTTCTGTCTAGGATCTCCAGCCAAGTCCTGTCTCTAGGTTCTGTCTAGGATCTCCAGCCAAGTCCTGTCTCTAGGTTCTGTCTCTCTCTAGATTCTGTGTCTAGGTTCTGAGTCTAGGTTCTGTGTCTAGGTTTTGTGTTCTGTTGTCTTGTTACATCTGTATTTATACCAGTTGATTTTAATCCTGTCAATTTCTATTGCAAAGGTTAGGGCGTTTCTTATCTCCATTCCAGGGAGTAAAGATTATGTAGCTTAAGGGTGATTGTTTGTAGTTAAAGTGATTAACTACCCCCCTGGCACTTAGTTAAGGGGTTTTATTCCCTCCCTAACTTCAGGGGAAAATCCCTACCTGGGAAAACAACCTTTCTCGGAGAGGTGACCTTGGTTAAAACACATAGTGCCAAGAAGGTGAGCAAACATATTAAGAACAGTATGCCATATACGCCAGGTCCCTTGAAACAGCAAGGATGGACCGGCTCCCGGCAGCCTCCCACCCCACCCTGGTCCCCAACACCCACCCCTCCACCCCAGACCTCACGGCCCCTCCCACAGTCTCACCTCTGAGTTATGGTGTCCAAATGTCCTCTCTACAAGGACCCCAGTCATGTCGCTCAGGGCCCGCCCGCGTGACCTCACCTCACTCACTTCTGCGAAGCCCCTGTCCCCACAGTCTAGGTGGGCCTGGCCGTCAGAATTCAACGAGAGAGGCCCGGGGAGCGCGATGCAACCCCGACAGTCTCTGCGACTCTCACAGCTGAGTCTTGGGCTCTTCCCGTCCGTGTCTCTCTGTCTGCCTGTCTGTGCCTGTGGCTCCTTCTCTCCCGCCTTTGCCTCCTCAGCTCTCTCCCTTCCCCTGCTCCCTGCTCTCCACCCTCCCGCTCTCCCACGCGGGACTCACGCAGACCCCGAGTCCAGTCCTGCCCCGTCCTTTCCCAGCGGGGCGACCCTGCGTGCCCAGCGCTCCCTCCCTGGCCTCCGTGTCCCCTAAAACACAGCGTGACCAGCACGGAAGGCGGAGTGGACTCTTCAGAGCGTCTGAGTCCACCCTCATCCCACCCTCATCTCAGCCCTGGGTGGGCCACAGCCCGGAGGCCCAGAGATGGCCACTGCCTTGCCCCAGGCCACACAGCCAGGGGGGCCGAGTGTCTCCAGGGCCGGGGTTTTTTCCACTCGCCCCTGTGCGGGGGCCGGGCCTGGGGGACCGCAGGGGTGGGGAGATCCGCCCTGCCTCCCAGAGGGCAGCGTCCAGCGCTTCGGAACACAGCTGCGGGCGGACTCAGAGTTTCCACCCCACGTGGTGGGGGGAGGGAGAGGGGGCCGCTGCAGGCCTGTTTTTCTGCACTGAGCACTCACATGTCGTCCCAGGCTCCCCGTGGCTGTGACACGCGATCGCCTCTCTGGTCATATGAGCCCCACTTTGCACGCGAGGAAATGGAGGCTCCCAAAGCCTGGCGCTTGCTCGAGGTCACACAACTAGGACTCTGACTCAGAAACCTCCCCCACCCCCCCCTCAGCCAGGGTGTTGGGGTGTCCCACCCTCCTGCCTGCCCTCTCCACATGTTGAGCCATGGTCCCAAAGACACCCCCAGCCCCCGCCACAGCCCTGATGGCACAGGGGGCCAGGGACCCCGGAGCAGGGGCTGAGTTTGGGCCCTGCTTCAGCATCTCCTCTCCCTCCAGGCCCGCTCTGGCCCTCGGCTTTTGCACCTGTGAGGGGGGGCTGACCACCCCCGGTCATTGTCCAGCTTGAGGCCAAATGTCAAAGCGGCTGCCTTTTGAAG